AGATCATTGCTTACTATTCTCCATTCCAGGATGACGGAAAATGATCCCTGATATTATTTTTTTGTGCCACTGCCTTTTCAGATACTTGAAACCTTCATCCAGGCTAAAGTAGTGTTGGAGAACCTACGCCAAATGTGTCATGGGTGAAACCACACAGGGCATTTTGGTGATGTACCTGGATGCTTGCAAGTCACAGCTATTGCTCTAGCGTAGCCTTTGAGCCCTCCAAAAATTGGGCAATCATTCTTATGCACTTTTGGGAGGCCCTATGATAGTAGGACTCAGAGAAAAGAGTCCAAAAGAAAGGATTTCTGGAAAGGCCTCCCCTCTTCACTCAGTCAAGGTGGGAATTTTCTGAATTTTTGACACATCAAGCCCAAAAGGTTCGTCATCTAAAGCTAAGTGTACCTAGTTCTGCAGGAGATGATCAGGTTGAGCCCATGGAGGGGTCAAACACGTCACCAGTCTCAAGTCTCTTTGCGCCCACAAGAGATCAAAGTGCAGCCGACCTTAAATTCCATTGACCCTTAACCCACCACCAATTTGCTTTGACCATTAGTAGAGCAGATTTTTGTAGAGAGTGTTAGAATGCAATAAACCTGTATTCATTTGAACTGCCTTGGCTCCAGATTTCCTGTGCTTGACAACTCTTCCTTAATCTGCCATCACTGACTTTAAATTTCCAGTCCACTTCAAATAAACACTGTTTATCTTCTGAACTCTTTTGAGTCCTCCTTAAATTTGGTACCAAGGACTGGAGGAGAGGACTTGAACTACAGTCTGGCCAATACTATTCCCTCTGGACCACGGAGGCAACTGCAAGACAAATTACAAACTCCACTCTCTTTTACGACCTTCTAATCCGTTCATTTTAAGTAGAATTGGAGCGACTGCATGGAGCTGAGCATTTACTGACTGGATGCCCTTCCTGACGCTACATGGCATTCAGAAACCCCATTAAGAAAAAAAAAAGAGAACAGTCACCAGTATGATACCACAGAATTATATTTATGTTTTTTTTTTCACATTGCAACATCCATGTTGTTCATTTTGTGACACATTATCTTTAATAATTCTGAATATATATTTACTATAATACATTATACCAAGAGGCACTTCCAGTAATTCTGGCAAAAAGGAGCTTCATTAATAGTGTCTAACTTACAAAACAGTAAAAATAAATAATATTTATCTAAAAGATTTCTCCTGTTTTCTCCGCCTGTACAGAATCTATTTTGTACAAAACATTTATCAGCCGTTAACTAAAAATCACTTAACAAATACTCGTGAAGGGAATATATTAAGTATTGCTACATGTCTTAAGTGCAAGATATCCGTGAAAAGAAAAGCCAACAGAAATTTCAGTCAGTTTGTGAAAGATCATTACCTAAAAAAAAAAAGCAAAAAACCAAGGCCTTGTTTTTGAAGTTTTTGTCTTAAAAGAAGTTTGATTACAACAATATTGGCAATATATAAATATAAATTAATGCAGGTAGTATTTAGTGAAAAGAAGACTGTGTTTTTTTTAAAAAATGGACATCTACAAATACTGAATGCAGGAGGTACAGCTCTACAGTACAACAATGGTTGGCAATTCCACCTACTTGGGGGGGAGGGATTAAAATGTCACAACTGAACCCCCTTTTTAAAGCGTCATTTGAATTTAGTGGGATCCTGAAGGAGCAAACAGTGTGTTGTTATGACACACTTTCAGCAACTTCTTCAATGCCACCGTTTCTTCCCAACTTGAAATTTAAAAACCCAAAGGAACCGAAGGATCACTCAGGTAGTGGGGGCTTTCTAAATTGCTATTTCTCCACCATCGCCCTGCTTTCCTTTCCTTTGTCTCTTCAGAGAATGTTGGGAGTCAACATTGGCTGCCCAACAACTTTCAAAAACTCTTTATTTCTATCTATCCGGGTTGGATATTCTAGTTCAGAAGGTCATCGATTCCTTACTAGGATGATGGCTATAAGGGTAGGCTGTGGCGGTAGGATACACAAGTCAACGCCAGTTGACTTGAAAAATTAATGGGTCTTGGAAACATTCAGGTCTGGCTTGATCACCTTCACCTGTCCCCCCTTTTTTCCCTTATGAAGAAAAAGGTACTTCGTGATATTGCTTTTGAGGAAACTTCAAATCAACTATGAAACCCACAACTCTACTAAGAGACCTTGGTTGGGCAGACAAACCAATGACTGAAAGATCACAACCTTAAGTGAACTGGAAGAATGGGTCCTTCAAGCAAGAGCCACTATGATTTGTTGAATGCTCAGATTGAACAGAGGACTCAAATACATCCATGTGCTGGAGGTGCGCCTCTCAAGTTAGGAATCAACACTATTTGGTCTCAAGAGAAACAAGAGTGAGTTGGCTTTAATTCCTGCGATGGTCAAACCCACACCCATCTTTCAAGGATTGCTAGCATAATCATTTTTTTAATTTTGGTGCAAAGAGGATAGATGGGTGAGTGTGTCCTAATTTCATGGATGTTAGGCACCACTTGTGCATGGAACATTGCAAGGATCAGACTGCAAGCACCTTCCGCTTGTGCGTGAAGCTGTGCATGTACCTGCCATTAACACCGCCCCTGAGCCGGGCTTCCAATCTGGAAACATTGGAGACCGCTGCTCTCAGAAATGTACCTAGATCGGTTTCCTGCCTGCTAGCAATCCCTAGAAAGATCAGAATTGGAGAAGAACAGCAGATAAACAATCCTCTTTAGATGTGGGTTGGTACAACTGAACAGGAAAAAGATTGATATGAAAACACAAATACTCCAACAACCAGCAAGTACTTTCGTTTCAAACGTAGAACACATTTATAGGCAAGTTAAAGCCATTAGACTCTGGTTTGTCCTCCGAGAAGGAGAGCTTAACATAATAAGTCACTAGACTGTGAGAACCATCTCCATAATGTGCACTTGAACAGTGGTGTCTGCAAGATATTGTAAAAAAAAAAATAAAAAAAATAAAGATGGTGGCCGTGATGGTGTAATCAAAGTTTCTAACCTCTCCCTTCTTTTCTTTTGCATCATATTATGTACAACACACACAAAAACCAGGCAAAGCATTGAATGCATCATCGTAACTACCAATCTTGACTTTCTGGCCGTACTCTGTGGACAACCCTAGGCAGCTGGAGGGACTACGAGGGGTCAAATCTGAGATGTTTGCTTAAAACATTATAACGTGAGAACTTGCTATACACCATATATCCTTCTCAGGAAGAGAGAGTGTTTTAACTATTTGCAAAATTTGAAAGACATTGCTGAGTTATGGGAAGAGTGTGAGAGGACGGACTACTTGCTAATCAATTCTAATGTGCATTCCCACCCTCACTTGGAACTGGCTTAATCTAAGTGAAGGGAGGCAAGGATGATGCTGGTTTCAAACATGGCTTCCCATACTGGATGGCACCCAAACCCCTGATCTTCTTTTTAAAAAAAAAATTGAGTGGCAGTGAAAGATTATTCAGAAGCTTAAGGCATCAGTTTCACATCTTAAAAACCCCTACATTTCCCTCTAAATCTAGCCTCAGCCTCATCTATGTGAACCCTGGTTCAGTGTGGATTGTCAAACCCCAGCCGTTGCGGTTCACAAGCCACACATTATGGCTCAAGGCAAATTGTAAACATGGCAAATCATGGCTTATTCAACAATCTTCAATCACATTAGGGTAAAATGTGAACCGAGTTTCTACATTTCCAATACATTCAGCAACAATCTGAAGAATCCGTGTAGGAGTGTCCAAACATGTGCAACTTTGAGACTTGTGGACTTCAACATAGCTGGCTGGGGAATTCTGGGAGTTGAAGTCCACAGGTGTCAAAATTGCCAAA